GAGGACTAGATGAGAAATAGGAATCTAGCAGAGTGTTCCAGACAACATTTATGTGAAGTATCACATGGAAATGTAGTCAAGTACCTGCAGACCGAAATAACTACTAACATAACTCATCATAGACTCTACTGACATAACGCTGCAGTTTATACCACTTAAGTTAATCACCTGTTATTTTCTTATGTTTTCCCTCACATATCTTGCCCTGACATACCATGTTCATCTCTTTCGTAAAATTCAAGGAAAGCACTCATTAAAATTTATGTTTCACTTTTAGCTAATATATTTCTTTTGGTAGGGAACCGCGTTTTATATTATTACTCGCAACAACACCAAAAACCAAGCAAGAAGAAGAACGCATGACACCCCAACCAAAATATTCTAATTAAATGACGAAATATCGACCACCACTTTTTTATTTCAGGTAACTCTTTTAGAGAACATGAACTTGCAGCAAATTATTGTAGGAGATTGAACTGTATTTACGCACTAATTTGAGATCTAGGGAATAATAAATTGAATTGATAACCACTACACATCAACAGTACATAAAAGGATTAATGAAATTCCTTATAATTTCTTTGAATATCATGTAAAAGAAAATTTAATTTTTATATGATTTCTAGAGAGTGAACTCCTGTTAGCAATGTGCTTTTAGTTAGGAGCATGTTCCGTAAACTTACTTGCAAAGCTTCTGAAGACTTTCGAGAATGGAATTATTGCTCTAAGATATTTCTTCATGTCTATTATTGACTTAAGACTTCTGAGGACAATTAAGTGGGGGGCCTGTTCCCAAAAATGTACTTCAATAATAAAAATATGTTTCTTGTTTAGAAAATTTCAGGTTAAAATTAAAATCGCCCTATACTGGATAGCTTGCTTATTTGATTAATGGATATAATTAATATTTATCACGATTAAATTTACTCTGCTCCCTCTATTAGGATAAATAAGCACTCTTAATAACTCAGAAAGTGACAAATTTAAAATGACCTGATATTGAACTCCAAGTGGGAACTTTTAGCAGGAAGATTCCATAACTAAGTGTTGGAAACTTTGTACAATAATATCCAGAGATATTTGATGGTGAAGATCTCTAATTTTGCTTAATAATGTGATATTAGTTTTTGCTCTTGCGTTTTATATAATTTTAACGTTTTTATTCTATAGCTTGCTTTTCAGATAAATTTTTCAGACAGTAAAGTTTGGTCGTAAATATCCATTAGATGTTACGCATTTCATACCAATGTTTTAATGGAAAAATTGAATGCTTCTTTTTTATTTATAAAAAAAACAAAAGGTAAATATAAATTATTTAATATAGAGTAAATATTTAACTAAAGAAGAAGGAAAGAAGAAAAGACTATAGACTTCTGTTAGAAATTTCTTACTTACAAAAAATTATTTAAGCATTTGCGGAGAAAATTGCATTCTATATATGAGTGGTAGTAAATAATGTGCATTCAATACTAAATGTTTCCAAAATCTGCTCTCAGACTTTTATTACTGAAAAAATAATTTTTATAGAAACCCAAAACTAAACTTTTCTTGATAGATAAATCTTAAAGGAAGAAGACCTGGAAAAAATCATAAAGTGTTACGGAAAATCTAATACACCTAATATATTTAAATTTTTATCCGGCGAAATTACTTTGTTCTGTTCACTTACGCACAGAAGATGTTCGCAAATAAGCTGGAGGTATAAACAAAAAATAATTATTTTTCAGAATACGTTTAAAACTCTATTGCTTAGAAAAGATTTAGGAATTTTTATATTGGGTTCTTGCAAAAATTTCTCCAGATCGACGAGAAAACTATTATTGAAATATTCTCGAAATTTCTGTTGTCGACATCTTGAATAGAAGCAGTGCAAAATCATAATTCAGTTTTCGCACAACTTACAAACTGTAAAGTTTTCTGTTCACAAACATATGTTTTATCACTTTCGATGAGCTAATTGATGTCCAATAAATCATCCCTTTAATTTGCATTCTGTGAGAACTCAAAGCGCAAAATCAATACACGTTATTGGTCATTTGCTTTCATATTGGCTGAAAGTTCGACTTTAAAAGTTCATTTTATTCACGACAGCCTTTGGTGACATGATCACGATCAACTCGTGGGAGTAGAAGCACATGCTTCTGCATGTAAAGTTTCAGAGAACGTAAGACCAAACATCACTGCTCGGATTGAAAATCTATATAGTAATACGGCAGACATTAATTATGGACAATGCACAATTTAAATATCGGTAAATAATTCAGAAATTTAGTCTAAAATGACTAATAGCGACAATCTAAAGCCATTGTTTCTCTGTCATCTTACTGCCTTGCATAAGTTGGTTTCGTTTCACAGTTTCTGGAGATACAATGTGGTGCGTGATTACATGAGGTCCTAAAGATCGAGAACAAAACTGCCCCAGCAAGCAATTTAAACGAAATGGAATGTAAAATGATATTATTGTCTGGTGGCTCTGTGCTGCGTTATGCTTTACGAGCTGTTCCAGACAAGCACTTGATGCATTGCATTGGCGCCGCTATATTGATACTGATAGCAAATATTACATTTTAATCATGTATATAAGATTACAGACACTCGTTCACTGCTTGTTGCTCTCTATATTCCCATTTCTGAACGGCAATACAATACCGCAACTCATTGGATCTGCCGTACGTTACTAGGAGCTATTACTGGAAATTATACCTTAAACATTGTATAACTCGAATCTTACGCAAAAGTCGATAATTTATCGGTGCATGGACGTACGCTAAATCCCAGTAAAATGTACTTCTGTCTACCAAATAACTTAAAATTCTGAAGACTTAAAATCCCAGTCTAATAATTCGAAAACTGTTAAGTATTAAACAAACCTTATAAATAAAAATATGAAACATTAAAAATGCCTCCATGGTGTAATTGGAACCATCTTCGAAGTGTATTTGAGAAGTACAAAAAGTGCAAAGTTCAAGTCGCAAAGAGGTCATTACTCAATTTTCCCGACCCCAGCTTTAAAAAAAAAACCCTAACGGATCTACTGTTTTATAAAATGCAATGCAAAATCCAAATCCATGTGCATTCATTATGAACACATTATACATACGAATGCGCATATTAAATAACATATAGGTAATCTTTTAATTTCTTTCTATTTATTATTACTTAGCTGCATTTTATTGCTAATATTAAAGCTCTTAAATAAGGTCTTTGTAAAATGTAGCTTTGTTAATTTGTTAGTGTATTGGTAGTTAATATTCTGTAGAACGTAGGCTTATCTTCTTTGTAAACATTTTCTTGATAAAGATTTTGAGTAAAAAGATGGCAGGGTAATTAAAAACGGTTACACTCTCTTAATTATTAACAGCCTTCGGCTCTACGTCTTCACATGATGCTTCACGTATGGTGCACTATTTCTTATATATTTAAATGTATATTTTACTGTGTTTTCGCTGCTAACATCAAAATCATAAAAGAGCTCTGAGAATGTGTCTGACACTGTTGTCTTTTTCCTTAAAATTAGTTGTTAAATTATATATGTATATTATGTGTTAATTAGGAATTTGATAAAATTATTCCGGGAATTTTCCAGTTGTTATGTTCTCTTAATTGCAACAAATCTCAGCTACGAATTTCCAGATGATTCTCCAAGTGTCATATATAAATATAATATTGTATGTTATTTAACACGGTATGAAATTTATATATATTTACGAACGTATGCATATATATATATGGACGCATGCTCTGTATATGTATATCCGTTATGGATTCATGCAAGCATATGTATACAGGGTGTATCAGTACAGCGGTGACAAACTTCAGGAGAGATAGAGTACACCTGGATGATAAGAAATCACATAGGAATGCGTGGTCGGAAACGTTTTCCTGGCGCGGTAGTGAGGATACAAAAGTCAAGAAAAAGAGGACAAAAACGGGGCGAGAAAACATGTTTTTTATTCGGAGTACAACAAAAACAACATAAAGAGACAACAATCGTCATCAAAAAACGTGTTAGAAAATACGACTCGGAAAGTGATGCAGGAACCGTACTTCATGCATCTTCCATTTGTGATGCAGATCTTCTGTGCGCCAGAGAAGTGAGGCCTGCATCACGGTCCAGGGTCGTAATTTCGAACACCTTCTTCAATAACGATCGTTTTTTCCTTTTTTTCCTTTTTTTTTTTTTTTTTCCTGTTGTACTAAACATAATAAAACTTGTTTTGTCTCACTGTTTGTGTTCTTCTTTTTGGTATTGGTACACCTACCCCGTATAATATATACATATATGCATATACATTGCAATTTAAAATTAGTATTTTGTCTTACATAGTTTTCTATCTTACATACATATGTATATATGTTTATCATGCATGTGACCGTATTTACTTATTTTGAAAATAATGCCTTGCATTTTATCCCTTTTAGTTTTGTTTGCTGCTTTTTATTTAAACAATGCATTTTCCGAAACACACAGAAATTCTATATTTCCAATCAAGAAAAAATTTGAAAAATTAAGTACATTGATGCATATATTATGATTCAGATTGAAATTTGAATCCAGTACGAGACAAATTGCTATGGAATCATATTGAAAATAGCGTTTTTAGTAAAATAATCTCAGCTCTTTGATGAAAATAAACAGTAAAGCCTTCGTATTGGGATGCTTTCTGTTAAGGCGGCGAAAAGAGCCAAGAAAGGGGACAGAACACGGGTGAAAAGAAGTAAACATGTTTCTAAAAAGGAAGTTATGGTATCATATTGAAAATAAATAAATGTCATTCATAAATCACCTCGTCAAAATCCATGCTTGTATTTCGTATTGATTTCGAGGAAATACACTAGTAGTCTTTTTCTGAGAATGGAGCCGCGCGACTAAGTGAAATAATGTTGAAGGAAACCGTTACGAGATGGCGCTGCACAAAGGAACAATCAACAGACGCTCTTCGATTCTCCCGCTGCGTATAGTATACATAAAAGCGCAAAACGGAATAGTTATGAATGGCCCGCGCTTCGAGTAGACAGACGATTCATTTATTACGTTTATATGGTATAAATGGATAAACTGTAACTGTTTATATGCTGTGAATAATAAACAACTCTGATTTAAGTATTTAGAATATCTACAAAAAATGTAAGTACTTCTCTCAAAAACTTTTCTGTGTTTTAAAACATTTCAGAGATGTTCAGCATCTTATGTAATTAGTTTACATATATTATTATTGTCATTACACTGACCTATAGGAAATGTTTCCTGCCACTGAGAAAATTTTAAGAATTTTAAAATTTAAGAAATATTTGATATTTATTGAGGAAACTGTGAAAAAGTGTTTCTATTAATGAAAAACCAGCATGTTAAATAACAGAAAATACTTTTCTATGAAAAATGTTTCGAATAGTAAATATTTTGATGATTTTATTTCACTTAATTAATAATTTATCTTATATTTTAACTTGCATGTTGTTTTAAAATAGTTTATTCAGCTTTTTAATACATCTATAAATGATCTATATAAATTTTTAAATCATCATTTGTTTATCTGTATAAAATCCTTAAGCTGTTTAGATATCTATATAAATGTTAAAAAAAATTATGTACTTTTAAAATCTTATATCGTCGCATTTAGGAAAAAAAAAATATTATTAACAACTATACAAGAAAATGTAGTAAAACGTATCATAATATAAATCCACCCCCCCAGTATTTTAAACTCTGTTGAAACGAATGAAAATTTTCACATCAATCTTTGGTTTTCTTTTCATCATTGTTGTGAATTAACATTTAGATTTATTAAATTTTAATATTAGTAAGGATGAAAACACGAAAAGAAGTGTAAAAATACTTCCATTATATTTTAATAATATTTAGTAATGTGTCAAACTCTTACATTTATTACTAGCTTTTATTATTCTTAGTGCCCTGCCTTCTATTTCAACCCTACGGGTAATTGCTTTGTGAGTTTTATGTATCTTATTTTCTGTGATCTGGTTATCATCCATCTGCCATTTATATAGTTGTATCTAAGTAGAATAAACAGAAATCAAAGTTTATATAAATATCAGGTATTCATCTTCATTGCCTGTTCCTTTATAAATTTTATTATTCTCGATTAGTTAACTTATTCAAATTAATTGTAATTATTGATATTATTTTAAAATGTTATTATTATATGTTTTATTGAAAACAAAGTATATATTGTAAACAGAAAAGTTTATTTTTCAGCAATTTGTTTTTACTACTCAAAATAGTATTTTTTATAATATAAAAATAAGTATCGAGTAGCGTTTTAGCACTCTTCCATGCGCACTTTTGATGCGAAAGTTAGTATTATGGTTCGGTCCATCGAAGATTCCATGCTTGACTTCAGGCGAGGATATTGTGAATGTTTTAAGATTTGCCGCCTCTGAAAAATCTCTTATTTTGTATGATATAGTGGTTTAAGCATTAATGTAATAAAATTCCAAAACTGTATTGTTCTTTTATTCATTGTTCATAAGGGTATGCTTATCAAATTCTTTCTCAGACCAATGGCACGCAGTAAAGTCTCGTATTAATATTTTACACGGAAGCATTTAATGTAATAATTTAATTTTTATTTATTTTTAGTAATTTAAAATAAAAAATGGCTAAATGTCAGTAATGCTTTTAAGGTTTGTTTTATGTAACATAAATTATGTTAATTTTTTGGTAAATTCTATTCTTTTGGTCTTTACTAGAATGCAGTTTAGTCTGAATTTAAACAGCAAACAAATTCGTAATTTAGAGCTTTGTCTTTACCAGAGTTCAGTTTACGTTCAGAGCGAATTGTAATGTAGAGAAAATGCTATAGTAATGATCTGGCATCAGGTAGCATGGGAAAAAGAGGCTTCTACCTAGTCGATCGGAGGATTAGCGAACGAATCTGTTAGAACGAAGAGTTAATTCACTTTGTTAATTTGAATACTTGATATATTATCACCTTACAAATAGCGTGGGTAGTATTTATTAATTTTAAGCTATAATTAGAAACTGTAATTTAATAAACCTTTTAAGCTTTACTTCTCGCCTATGTTAGTAAAATTCAATAAGACTTCTATCTAATTGCGATGATGATAATCCATAGGAAGTAGAAATGCCAAGCAAATGCAATTAGATAACTATATGAGTTTATCCTTACATACTTACTTTGGAGATTGTAAAAATGTAGGAAAGCGAAATAATTTCCAATGAAATTCAATACATTGAAGAGCTTACAGCATTTGCAAAGATACCAGTTTTATTCTGTTTATAAAGTAAGAGTATCGAAATGTGAGATAGAGGGTAAGAAGAAAAACCATATTTTGCAACCAATAAAATTAGTCATAGTTGTTTTTGAATATTTGAAGCATCTTTACATTATTTTTTTATTTAAAGTTATGTAAAAATGCCATCTTCGATTGACTTAAAGCTTTGCCGATTTCGAAGGCGATCAGACATGTACCCCTAATATTCTGGAACAAAAAATGTTTTGGAGAGATGGGAAATTTTTTCATTTATTTTTCTGATTTGATTTCTGCTTCCCTACTCCCATTACGTTACCAAATCGCCGCTGATTGTCTTTCATTACTGCATTAAGCACTTGCACAGTCAGACGGACTGTTTTTAGAAAGTTGTTATGCAGGTGCATTTGATAAAATCTTTATCCAATGTGCCTTCATAATTTATAAATCCCGCCCAGATGGTACAAGTCTTAGGGGTGCTGACTGCGATACCGAAGGGCCCGGTTCGAATCTCGGCGAAGGCAAGTTTGTAACCAACTGTTCCCTTTATAGGAGGCAATTGTGGCCGCCTGTTAGGTGCCTTTACAATAAAATGTCCATCACGAGTTTGGAGTAGCCAATGTCGAAAAGGCAAATGCCGGTCGCTAGAAAAAAATAAAGTGTAAAGGAAATTTTTATTATGTAAAAATCGCACTGATTTGTAAATAATATTATCGTTGTTAATACTAATACGAATGTGCAGAGTAACAAAGCAAGTAAAAACTTGATCATTTAGAAAGTATAGACCGGTGGTTTTCAATCTTTATTTCCCACGCAACCCTATAACTATTTGCTGGAGCATCATTCCCTTCCTTGGTTTCCAAAACACGAAAAATGTATATACATTTATTTAGAGTTAGAACATTTTTCAATGGCACAGCTGGTAGCATACGTATTCCATTCTCCCCCCGAAACTATGAAATTCCACACTAAGGTTATCAGGACTTGTATTTCTTTTAATCTGTTTGGCAAACATAACGTGTCCTGATCAAACAGTGAGTTTGACTACAAACTATGTCCTATGGAGTACAAAAAGGATGACAAGACAAGATGGGATTAAATTACCCTTTATTTTTTACCTATATTATAGGCGTTCCCGCACTTCGGGATACAAAGACCAACCACTTGTGGTCTGAACATAAAAATTTTAAAACTACTAACTAACTAAAAACAACAGTTAACTTTGAGTGCTTTACACAAATGACTAACGCTAAGACTGTCCTTTTAAATTACTACGTATGTAGTACGCAAACTGCGGAAAACTACAATGCGTCTTTAGCTTTCAAGAGGACTAAAACCTCTGGCCTTAAAGGCAGACAGCAACTGATTGAAAATCGCGTGAAATATAGTCGTAAGAAGGCTCACTCTCTCCCCATCTAACCCTACTCTTGGCAAAAAGCCACAACTTAAATACTTAAGCGTTTGCAAGCACAATTTACATAAACAAATTAACGTGTTTATTCTGGCCGAAAGTAGAAAATAAGAAAGGATAGTAAAGTTTTAAAATAACAATAAACGCCAGCACAATGCGGCAACGCTATAGGCTATACTGAAAGAAATTACTCACCATCATGCAACAGTAATTACTGCTGAGCTTAGTTGGGATTCTGGGCAGGGTGTTTCGTCAACCTGGATGATCAGTCTTGTGAATGACGACCACCATACTCAACGTTTGTAACCATAGCTGCTTTACGAACTTACCGTAGCTGAGCTCTTGTACAAACTTTAGAGACAAGCAAAAACTCTCACTGAAACCTTTAATTATTCAGATAAAAACACATGCCATTATTAAAACAAAATCTTATGCTTTTCTGTACATTTCAGTGAAAACCGCATATATTGCAATATAGACTTTATACTTTTTCTCTTACTTTTGCATCATCTGGTATATGTCATTAAGATAATAACTAACAAAAAATTAAAGGCCTATAATTGCATGACTTTCCGCTACAGAATTAATTATACAAAAGACTCACTTTTCTCAATAATACCTGGTTTCAACAAATGATTAGGATAAACGATCTACACAGGCATTTAGTAAATAAATAAGTAAACCAATGAAAATTGCATTAATTTTGTTTTAGAAGACGATTATATAGTTACTGAGCTTCTGAATGCAATACATAACTTTTATAACAGTAAAATCTATTAAAACAACTGATACTTTATTTCGATAGAAGAGAGCTATTTATATATACCATGTTTTTAAAAGGTTTAAAGATGCGCATGTAAATTTAATTTAAAAAAAAAAAAAAAAAAAAATTATGATCTTTATAGTATCAAAATATATATTCAGACTTTTCAAATAAATGCCTTATTTAAAAGTTGTAATGTTTCAAAATGTCAATTTAACCATGTTAAAAGGAAACCTTTTTCTTCTAATAGTGGGCACTCGCCATTTTAGGCTTTGACCAATAATAATGCTAGAAGCGGTGGTCATTTTATAATGAAGGCATTTAACAGGCGGCCACCTTTACCTCCTATGAAAAAATATACAATTTAATCCGTTCCTTCTCCGGGATTCGGAACGCGGGGCCTTCGGTATAGTAACCATTAAAGACTTTCCCGTCCGGATGGCTTAAAATGAAGCATCGGTGTACATAATATACATTCTTCGATGTATGCATTGATTCTCAAATTGTCTTTAAAAGTATCCGAGACTATTCGTTATAAATATTTTTTAAGTACGTTATTTTCACTTATTCTCTCTTATCACGATTCCAAGTTATGGTGGAGAACAGAAAGATTTTAAAATGTAAAAAAGTAGAGTACTGTTGCTTTTAGTTCTATAATAAATTTAATAATTAAAAAAATAAGATTAGTACAATTTTAGTATTGAAATGGAGTTTTAGGATT